CTTTTGATCTGCTTTTCACGAATTGAGTTCTGGCCGAGTGGGCCCCATTATGCTGCGTTCGTCATTCAGGGTCTGAACGGGTAAAGGCCCTTTTACTCTCGCCGGCCTAGTTTCGAAGTACTCTGAGAAAACCTTCATCTATCTATGATGCTTCTTCCTCTTCTGGCTCTTTCATAAGCAGATACAATATGAGGTGCAGACTCGATCAATTCTTCTCTTGTGAACCAGCGATCTTCACTTGGGTCCTGATATGCAAATCTTACTTTATATTGTCGCTGGGGTCTGCCTCTACGTCCAGTTTGAAAAGTACTTTCAGCAATAATCTTGTCCACATCATATTTCCCATCCATTCTAGGAGGAATCGCCGATCTGCGACTGGGAAACAACTCATTCGTCACGCAAGGTAAGAGATTTGAGGCGTGAAACACTGGATACGTATGCAAATGTAGAGGAATCGCAATTACGTAAGGTCCATCCACATCTCCAATCACATCCAGAACCTGCCAAGGTCCTCTGTAGGCTGGTAGCAATTTTTGGGAAATGTTCTCCTCAGGAACAAACTCTTTAGACTTAACCCATACCAGATCACCTATAGCAAACTGAGAAGGTCTCCTGTGTTTATTTGCTTGTTCTATCATTTGATGTTGTGCTTTTAGTATATTCTCCTTCACTTTCTCAAGGTATTTTTGATATTGGATTGCAAATTCACTTGTTCCTAGTGGAAGCTTATGTACTTGATCCAGGTTCAGGCGATCGATAGGTCTGCGTGGACGCCATCCCAAATGCAACTCCATTGGAGTCTTGCACGTAGATAGGTGAACATAGTTATTATAAGCACTAGCAACTTTGGGCAAATGGTCGTCCCAGTCAATCTGGTTGGGACATATATACATACGCAGCGTCTGCTGCAAAATCTTGTTCATTTGCTCAGTCTGGCCATTTGTCTCAGGGTGTCGACCTGATGACATAGTCAACTTAGATCCATAAACGTTCATTAGCTGCTGCCATTGTTCACTCGTGAACCGCGAATCTCTGTCACTTACAATCGTTAGAGGATGCCCGTAATCCTTCACCCAGTGGTTAAAGAATTCCCGGATTACCAGTTCTGTTCTTGCTTCCGCCGGTAATGCGACAAAGACAGCATACTTACTAAACCTGTCAACGATGACCATAACGTGCGTTTTTCCATTCTTGCTTTTTACTTTAGTATCCATATAAAGTCAATGGACAGAGAGTCTTCTGGTCCTGTTGGGATTGGCAAAGGCTTCAAAAGACCAAGGGGAGGCTGGGTAGTGCTCTTATTTCTTTGGCACACTTGACAGCCCTGCACATAAGCGATGGAGTCGGGTTTCATACGAGGCCCAAGTGTAGGAACGCAAAAGGTTCGCATACGTCTTCTTCCATCCAAAATGGCCTTCAGTGTCATGGCACTCCCCCCAGATCAGACTTTTGATCTCTTCCACATTAGGAATACAAAGCCGACCATCTACATCTGTCCCTTCAAACAACAGACCTTGTGTAATACGATAGTTAGGAAACTCTTGAGGTGCTTCTTGTATACGCTTAATCATAGCGCCATAAACAGGATCTGTGGAATACGCATTTCTAATTTTCTCTTGCACATCGGTGCCCACATCTAGATATGTTATAATGGCACCGAAGAAATCGGATCTTTGACTTAATGCATCAGCGACAACATTATAGTTCCCCTTTACTGGCTTAAGTTCAAAGTCATACTGATCAATCTCAGCAACCCACCTCGTCAATTTAAGCGTCATTCGGGCCTGTGTTTTAAGCCAGCGAAGTGTCTTATGATCTGAGTAGACTTTGAAGTGGCGTCCTAGGAGATAGTGTCGATAGTTATCTAGAGCTTTGCGGAGAGCAAACAACTCCCTCTCATACGTAGAAGCGGCGACTTTGTCATTAGGCAGTCGTCGGGACATAAATTCAACAGGCCTGTATCCATTCCTGTCGTCCTGTTGGAGTACATCGCCTATCCTGTACTGATTGGCGACGGTTGTGATGACAAAGGCCAAAGAAGGATCAACAACCTTCAAAACCGGATAATTAATTAGATATCTCTTTAGACGTTTGAACGAAGCCGTACAATCTGAATCCCACTTCCAGATGGTTTTTTCTTCAGCAATCTGGGAAGGGGTGCAACAGTTATCGTGAAGTGTCTAACAAACTTCCGATAATAGTTGGCTAGTCCAAGGAACGACCGCAATTCTGTCAAAGTGAGGGGGTTAGGCCAATCGCGAATTGATGCAATCTTTGCGTCTTCCGGTTTGATCCCATCACCATCAAGCACATGCCCCAGATATCAAACCTGACGCTTAGCTAACTCACACTTCTTGGGGTTCAATTTCAATTTTGCCTCACGTAATTTATTTAGCACAAGTCGAAGGTGCTCACAATGGTCTTTCAAATCTTTACTAAAAATCAAAATATCATCAAGATATATGACCACAAATTTATCAAGCCATTCACGAAAAAGTTCATTCATCGTTCCCTGGAAAGTGGCAGGKGCATTAGTAAGACCAAAAGGCAATACAATCAACTCATAGTGCCCATACCTTGTACGGAAGGCAGTCTTGTATTGGTCTTCTGGTTCTACCTCAATGTGATGGTAGCCAGACTTCAAATCAATCCTACTGAATTATTTGCTTCCTTGAACTCGATCCAGCAAATCATCGATTCTGGGTAATGGCTCAACATTCTTA